TAAAAATATTAAATATTTCATATATTATATATATTATTTATATACTACTCTGTCTTAGGGGCTGTTTGTTTGGCTCTGAATGGAACCATTCAACGCTGAATTTTGAATCGTTCAACATTCAGCGCGTTTGTTTCTCATATCTGAATGATTCAGTTCTGAATGATTCAGTGCTGAATGATCCAGTGTTGAATGATTCAGTGCTGCCTGATTCAACAAAATAGTGCTGAATGATTCAGCACAGAAGTACATTCTGAATGATTCAGAGCAATTATCAAACATCATGTCACATTCAGAGCTTATTCATACAGAGCCTCTGAATCATTCAGCATTTAAATCATTCAACGCTTAATCATTCTGAAGTAAACAAACAACCCCTTAGTCTAGTTTGTCTGTTTCGTTTAATTCAATTAAATATTAAATATATTATATATTAAATAGAAAAATTATAATAAATTTTAATTAATTTGGAAATCAACTGAATTAATTGAATTTTATTCGAATTGATTAATTTTTTTTAATTTTAACTTAATTAACGTTTTAAAAAACTCAATTAAAGAATTTTTAATAATTCAATTCGATTGATTAATCAAATAATATAGTATAGTTTATTGCCAAAGCCCTAATTCCCTACAAACCGGAACTATATATACCTACTGTGCTCCCTTCGGTCTCACATTTTCCCTTGAAAACCCTAGTAGCCGCATTCGCCTCGCAAAACGCCTTGGAAAATGGCCGGTGAAGGACTGGTTCTCCGTGGTACCATGCGCGCTCACACCGACATGGTAACCGCCATCGCCACTCCGATCGACAACTCCGATATGATCGTCACTTCCTCACGCGACAAATCCATCGTCCTTTGGCACTTAACCAAGGACGAAAAGACCTACGGCGTCCCCCGTCGTCGTCTCACCGGTCACTCACACTTCGTCCAAGACGTTGTCCTCTCTTCCGATTCTCAGTTCGCTCTCTCCGGTTCCTGGGACGGCGAGCTTCGTCTCTGGGACTTAACCGCCGGCACTTCCACTCGTCGCTTCGTCGGCCACACCAAAGATGTTCTTTCCGTTGCCTTTTCCATCGACAACCGCCAGATCGTTTCGGCTTCTCGCGATCGGACTATCAAGCTATGGAATACACTTGGAGAATGCAAATACACAATTCAAGAAGGCGAAGCTCATACCGATTGGGTTAGCTGTGTTCGTTTCAGCCCAAATACTCTCCAACCCACCATTGTTTCAGCCTCGTGGGACAAAACTGTTAAGGTTTGGAACCTGACCAACTGTAAGCTTCGTAATACATTGGTCGGACACTCCGGTTATGTGAATACGGTGGCGGTTTCTCCTGACGGGTCTTTGTGTGCCAGTGGAGGAAAAGATGGAGTGGTTCTGTTGTGGGATTTGGCTGAAGGGAAGAAGCTTTACAGTCTCGATGCTGGTTCGATCATTCACTCTCTTTGCTTTAGTCCTAATAGGTACTGGCTCTGTGCTGCCACTGAACAGAGTATCAAAATCTGGGATTTGGAGAGCAAGAGCGTTGTGGAGGACTTGAAGGTTGATCTTAAGACTGAGGCCGAGAAATCTGACGTCTCTGACACCGGAAACAAGAAGAAGGTAATGATGCTTTTTTATTGCACCAGTTAACATACAACCGGCTAATTTAGGGTTAGAGTAGAAATTGATTATAACCAAGTCTAATTATTTAGGGAAAATTGGTTGGATGAAATAAAAAATTATTATATTGCATAATTACACCGGCTGCAACCTAGTCAATATATTCTCGGTTATAACTTAAATGGTTGTCAATTGTCTAACTTTTTGGAATATACTGATGATATTTTAGGTTAAAAATTGTATTGGTTATAATTGTAAAATTTTTATGTTGAACGGTTTAATATTTTAGGTTAAAACTAATATAGGATGTAACATAAATTATTATCAATTGTTAGGTTGAATATTTTAGGTTAATATCCTGCCACCGCACCTTTCTTATCCTTCTTGTTGTATATTTTCAGTTAATTTTCATTTGGGTATCACTTGACGGTAAATAATTTGTTATTAATTGACATAATGAGTTGTATAATGAATGAATTATGTTTTCATTGTATTTCAAGTAAAAGTAATGCGGTGGGGTATCTGCACAGGTGATATATTGCACAAGCTTGAACTGGAGCGCAGATGGAAGCACCTTGTTTAGTGGTTACACTGATGGTGTAATCAGAGTTTGGGGGATTGGACGTTACTAGACATGAGCTTGTTAAGAATTTGTTTCGAATGTTGGAGTGTCTTTTGTTTGTTTTTTATGTGGTTGGATATTGAGCCGTTCGACTATTTCATCCTCTCTTTGTTCCTTTCAATTTGTTACAAAGAAAATCTTTAAGAGGAAGTGATGCTAGTCATCTGCTTGTTTCTTATCAATCGAATGCCATTTTCTTCTCTTTAGGGTGTAGAACAATTTAGTTTGTTGTAGACGGGATGAGAATTTTATTGAATCGAGTTGAAAAATGTTGTATTAGTCGAATAGGTGAATCTTATTTTATAGGTTTAATATAAAAGTGTTCAAATTATATCGTTTTTCTCATTTAGATCGAATCGAGTCAAAAAATTCAGTTTTTTAAGTCGAGTCCAGTTTTGTTCACCACTAAAAATTAGTACTTAAACTATATTGTTTCTTTGCTTTAGGAACCAGAATTATTATTTTATCAAAATAAACTTTCGAACTAGTTTGTGTAACTATTTTAATGATCTCAATTATTTTTTTATCAAAATAAAATTTTAAACTATACCTTTTTTTTTTCTTTAAGCTCTTAAATCATTTTTTTTGTCAAAACAAATATTTAATTTTGTGTGAAGTGTCATCATCTTATTAGATGAAAAATAATTTTCTAACTAAATTATTATGACTTCAAATAAATAAATATAATAATTCAAGTATGAGTACTAATTAAAGTGACTTTTGTGGTAAAAGAATTGTTGTTATTCTTTGATGACCTAGGTTCGAACACTATAGATATCATGGGTGTGAGTGATTAATGTCAAAAATTTGGAAGTTATCTTTGAACAGATATTGTCAGGTATTTACTCTAGATTATTCAAAAAAAAATATTTAGTTTGATAAAAAAATAATTTAAATGCCTAGAAAACATAATTTAGGTAATTAATTTTAGTTTAGGCCTTATACGAACACTAGTTGTTCTGTATCCTAGCCACCATCCCATTTGCTCATAGCCTTCAACACTTAAAACCACAACAAACCCAAAACAGTTGTCGACTCAGAACGAGAATCGAAGCCTTTGAAAACAATATTGAGTTGGGAAAAATCAAACAAAATGACGAAGGAAAAAAAATGTTTTGTTTTTCGGCTTTTGGCGATTCATGTTGATTAGAGATTTAGTGTTTACCTGACTTGTGATTAGGTTAGGTTAAGAGGGAAAAAAATTAAAAATACAAAAAATATTAAAATAAAATTTTCATTACAATTGAGAGACTAATAAAAATATTATTTATTAATTTTAATGTGTTAGATTATTTCAATTAAAATAATAATGATAGAAACTTAATTTTTAATAAAATTAAAATTTCAATATTCCTACTACTACTACTATTATTATTGTTATTACTATTTTGAAATAGATATGCGTATTGTATTAACCATAAAAGCCACCATTTATAATAATATCATATATAATACATCTAGGAGAATAAAAGACAAAATATAACATTGAACGAATAATGAGAGACTGACGAACAAAAACGTAAATTATTGAGATAAGGGTAGATAGAGATAGATTATTCCGACATCTTCAAACATCAAATAGAGGAGAAGAACTCGAAGAATATCTAAAATGATCGAATGAAAAATCAATATTCTATTAATCGTAGTCTCAATCTAGCATCACAAAAAAACAGACGGATGACAAAGAACACACTGTCGAAAATAAGCCATGACCCATAAAAAAAATCACGATCAAAGAATGAGATGGCAAGAAAAACAAGATCAAGAACCGAAAAGAATTTAAATTTCCAGTCCGCATAGTAAACTCACGGGGAAAGAAAAAATCAATATGTATCGAGACAATCACAAAAACAAAACCAATGAAAGAAAACTGTAGCGAAAACTTAAAAACGTCAATAACTATGATGTTTTCTATCAAATAAAGGGCCAAGAAAAAAAATATAATCGTAAATATATTTTAAAAAATAAGTAAATAATTACAAAAACGAAACAATTGATTGAAGAATAAAAAAGAACAACGTAGTGGCCGGGCAAAGCCACCAGCCCAACATCACCTGCCGCCCTCAACACCAAAAACTGGTAGTAATTTCCTAAATGCAAAATAACGGCTACAAAGAAAAGTAATCTATTTAAACATTCAATATTCATATTATAAATTTTAAAAGTTTAACGCTTGAAAAGTTATTTTAAGATAATAAATTAACGTAAGAACAAGTGTACAATATATATTTTAAATTAATTTTAAGTGTTTATTTTTAAAAAAAATAAACATTTAATCATTTTTTCGGACACTTTGAAGTGTTTAGATCGTAATAATTCAAAAAAAATTATTAAATAACATGTTACGATTATAAATTTAACTATAAATTTGGCCCGAAAATTTCATCGGCCAGAGAAGATGAAGAGTGAGAAGGTTGAGGTTGTCCACCACTTAGTGAATCTTTGAGTGTTGCAGAAAAGATTGATGAACGGTGGTGCCTCGACGAGGGCTGGAGGGAATAAATTTCTTAAAATATTTTTTTAAGAAATAAAAGATTTTAAAAATATAAATGTAGAACGATTTTTTTTAAAATAAAAAATCACTTAACGATTTTAAATAACTAAAATTAACTTAAGGTATAATTTGAATATTTATTATTGGATTTTTTTGAGCTCATATTATTGGATTAAGTCTAAGATAATTTGTCCATTATTTTGAATTTTACTCACTAAATAAATACGGTGGCCGGCAAGCACCGCCGAAACCATCCAAAATGCCAACAGAACGGAAATTGACACTTTAAAATATTGTCAGATGAAACAAAACCCTTTCGAAACCGAGAATCATGAGCGGTGGTTATGGCAGCTGCTCTTCACATCACTTCATCACTCCCTTAAACCAATCAAACTCTCTCAGAACAAGACCCACCAAATGTTCTCTCAATCGGCCCTTCCCTTTTTCCCTAAACCCCTCAAATTCCAGCTTCCCATTTTCAATCAGTGTGTCAAATATTCGATGCAAGTCCCGGTTCCTCCTTCTGCAACGAATTCTGCGTTCAAGAGTTTGTTGGAAACTTTCACGGTTGACGTTCATAAAGCTGAGAACAGACCACTCAATGTACCTTTGATTGCCCCTTTCACCATAGCCAATTCTAGGCTTGATAAGGTGGAGAACGTGGCCATCAAGATTGAGCTGAGAGATGGATGTGTTGGTTGGGGTGAGGCTCCGATTCTGCCTTTTGTTACGGCGGAGGATCAGCCTACTGCCATGGTTAAAGCCAAGGAGGCCTGTGAGATGCTCGAGAGTTGTTCTTTCATGACTCTTGGGGCACTACTTGGTGAAATTTCTGATCTTTTGCCTGGCCATCAGTTTGCTTCAGTGAGATTATATTTTCTTTTCTTTTTTCAACTGAGCTGGTATTTTCTATTAGTAATGACTCTTAATATGTTCATACAATGTTCTTATGTACGACTTAGATAAATTCATGTTAAGCCGTTGAACTATGGAACTGGAAGCATTGTATGTAGATGTTGGTCTCACTATATGTGCAAACTTATAAAAGTTTAGGGGCGAAAACAGATTCTGAAATATAAAAATATATATACTTAAGTTATATGAGAATTTGAATTTTTTAGGAGGTGATTGCCCCGTCAGCCTCGCTCAGTCCATTTCAACTTACTTTAGAACGTAATGAGTTGTTGCTGGTTCTGAGGGTTTGGAATTCACATTTTGGCTGAATGAATCAGGAAGGGTAAGGAAAATGGGGTAAGTAAGATAGTGTATGGCTGCAAATTGCGTCTAAACATCTGAAACATGTGTTTTTTATTTTTTTTTCGGTCAAATTAGATTATACTTTTATGGCCATAAATAGATATCTACTTTCAATTCCATCTTTTAGTTCTTGTATGTGAGAGGGTTCTTCCCCAGTTCGATTGTTCTTGCAATATAAAGTTAGGGAAATGATACGAGAAAGAGAGACACAGAGAGTGAGCAGATGCAGTTGTCAAACGTACACATTTTGATTTTCAGTTTCTTCTTTAAAGTCTTAAGCTGAGGTCTATCAACACGAACATGTTATATCTCAGTTCATTTCTTAGATGTCTCGGCCTAGAGGGTTCAGCATCTCTCATACTGTTCAAACAATTGAAGGTTGGGATGAGAGTTTAGTCAGACACATGTATGTCCAAAATTTGGACTCCAAATTATGGTATACTGGAAGATTATAGTTCTCCTTTATTCTGTTTCATTTTTATAATTCTCGTAATAGGAGGGTTTTTTTTTGTGTGTTTCATTTGACTGTTCTTACAACTGAAGGTTAAGGCAGGAGTTGAGATGGCATTGATCGATGCAGTTGCTAAGAGCATTGGTATACCTCTATGGAGACTATTTGGTGGAGCTTCAAATACGATAACCACAGATATAACAGTTCAGTTTCTTTCCCTTTTCATTTTCAGTTTACTTCCCCTTTCATCTTTTAAGAAGATGACTAAAAGTTTGGAGAAATCACCTACTATAGTATATCGTCTCTTCCAGAATTGTCAATTCTGCCTTATATATTTGCAGATTCCTATTGTCTCCCCAGCCGAAGCTGCTGCATTAGCTTCAAAGTATCGCAGACAAGGATTCGAAACTTTGAAGCTTAAGGTGGGAAAGAACCTGAAAGCTGACATTGACGTTTTACAAGCAATACGTGCTGCCCACCCTGATTGTTCATTCATTCTGGATGCTAACGAGGGATATAGACCTGAGGAGGCTATTCAAGTTCTTGAAAAATTACATGGTACGGAATGTATAAAAGTTAAAGATTCTGCAGCATGCGTACTAGCTATGGAAAAACAAGCAAAAATCAACAATTTATTTGCTTTTGCATGATCTAAAATTTTGATATTTGTAACATTCTCTCTTATGAACAACATTTCAGCAAGTAGGTTTCTTGTATCTAAAGTCTTAAGCCTTTTCCTCTTCCTTTCATGGCAGTAATGGGAGTGACTCCTGTTCTTTTTGAACAGCCAGTTCATAGAGATGATTGGGAAGGCCTTGGTCGTGTTAGTCATTTCGCGAAAAGCAAATACGGGGTATCTGTTGCTGCAGATGAGAGCTGTCGAAACTTAGCTGATGTTAAGAAAATAGTGCAGGGAGAACTTGCAGATGTTATTAACATTAAGCTTGCTAAAGTTGGAGTCATCAGTTCTCTTGAAATTATCGATTTGGCCAGGGCATCAGGACTAGACCTCATGATTGGTGGTATGGTGGAAACCAGGTTGGCTATGGGCTTTGCGGGCCATCTTGCCGCCGGCCTTGGATGTTTCAAGTGAGTATCTTATTTCTTGTTAAAGAAATGAGTACAACTGTGCAACCGTAGCTCGCCCATGTACATTTCGGCTGTCATAATTTTGACTTTTCTTCTGTTTTATAAGTCCAGTGAAGTTGTTTCAAGTTTTAACTTGAAGATATGCTGTGCAGATTTGTTGACTTGGATACTCCCCTTCTGCTGGCTGAAGATCCAGTTCTTGATGGATATGAGGGTATTATATTTTACTTTTGAACTCACCTTTTGTTTGTCCGATTTTACGATACCGAATTCGACATTTGACCATGTTTGATTTCTTGTGGCTAGTTCTTGGAGCTGTTTACAAGTTCACAGATGCTACAGGCCATGGTAGTTTCCTTCCCTGGGAAAATGTCACATTGTAAGCCTCTAGTTTACCACATAATTTCCTTTAGAAGGAAGCATATGGTCAAAGATCAAGTAGCAGGGTGTTCATATTTGTAAGGGGAACAATAATAATATGGGGAGGGTTCGGGTAGTAGAATATAAGATATTTCAATTTGGTTCACGGAATGTGAGAATAAAAAAATGCATATTTATTTATAGTGTGTTAATGATAAATAAAAATTGAAACAATACTAGTAAATGAAAGTTGACTATGATTTGTGCACAATTAGAGGTAGATACATTTTATTCCTTTATTGAAATACGAACAAAGAATAACTCAAACAACGACAGTGTGCTCCATTTGTCACACCATAAAAAATACAACATTTGCAGAAATGCCTCCAAAAAATTCATTTACATATTTGTATAGAATGGGGGAAGAACTTACAAATTTAAAAGGTTTGAAATTTGATTCCACCCCATTATCCAAGGGTTCTTATCGGCCGGTAATGCAAAATTGAGCTTAAACATCTCCCTTGACATGTTACCACCTTCACTGAACCCTACAAGCTTTGCCACTATCTGAGCACTCTCCTCAATGTTTTTGGCATCATGGGGATCTGTCCAGAGATTGTTTATGAATTGCAGCCTACTCTGCTTTCCGACCAGAGGAACATTACAATTAACGTATAATGCATCTCTCTCCTCTGCGCTCAAACGCGAGGTCAACCTCTCTGCGAGGAATTCCTTTTTGTGCTTCAATGCTCTGATGCTGTAAGAGAACAGAGAACTTTCAAGCAGGCATAAGCTAACATAATAAGCTGAAAGCAACAAGAGATGTGTGGTTGAGAGAAAGACAAAAAGAGAGAGAACCTTGATGACATGGACACTGCACGCTCATCTCCTACTAGAGCTGGGCTTGCATTTCCAAGTTCTGCAAAATGGTTCTGCATCCAATTTAAGCGTCTAAGCTCCACTTCCATGTATATTTGGTCAGCAGGATCTCAAATAAAACTGTGTCCTATGGATGATGGAAACGTAGTAGGCGTCCCATAACTCAACAATCTATTGCCTTTGTTCCCTGAAGGTTACATGGCATGGAAGTTGGGGTTCCTCTGGTTCGATTTCACTCTTGTCATCCTCTAAATTGTGTCCAGCAGCTTCGTTTGCTTCCAGTTCAAGCACCTAAAAACAAGTCCAAAAATAAGTAAAGTCTCTATGAACGGGAAAAAGAAAAATAAAGAATGTAAGACACAACATATAAGAAGGAGAAAAGGCAATCATTTTACCTGAAAAACAAGTAGCTATTCTGGTATTGCAGTTTAGCAACACGCTCTTTCTGTTCAGTTACATACGCTCTTATGCTTTTTACATTCTCTTCAGCTGCATTCTGAAACATCTTCTGCATTTTCTTCATGTTAACTGAACTTGAACGTCTATAGCCTTGAGGTGTGCCTTCCATTGAAGAGACTTCTCCAACCTGTTCACTCTTAGCAGGTGTTCCTTTCTTGGACTCTGCGTCTCCTTGGAGACAATTTCATCATCCTCTGGAGGTCTGTTTTCTTCATTATCAGGCTCCATCATTTGCTGAGAGGTTGATAGAGGTGAGCATAGAGATTTTATAACTTTTTTCTGGTTTGTAACCTTACTTGAAGATAAAGGAAGCAAATTCTTCTTTATAGACTAATTCTTAGTTTTGGAGGTTGCTTCATATTCGGATTCTTGATTACTGCTGGGAAGAGACATGACCAATTTGTCTATCGACTTCTGAACGTTCTCTAATTGCTCCCAAGGTTAGCTATTGTGCTATCTTGTGAATGAGGTCTTGTTATCTCTTCCTTGAGGTTAGCACTGACACTTTTGTTAGGAGCTATAGCAGTTCCAACTTCAACCTCCTTTTTAATAGACCGGACAGCGCACATCTCCCTTATTTCCGCTTGCAGCTTGGCAATTGTCACAGCTGCATCTTGATTACCTAGTCTATGATAAGCCACCTCTTTTTGGAAAACTTCCAGAGCTCAATTTGCTTCTTCTACAAGCTGTTCTTGGAGGTGTTAAAGTTTACGAATTTCATGCATAAGTGTGAAAGGAGCAGTTGATGATTGCCTCATAGACTGCCTTAACAATGTTTTCCTCGATTTATCATTACGGCTTAGTTCCTTCCCTTCAAGTTTCGGAGACAACAAATCAGAATACGACAGACATTTAATAGAGCTTGAGGTCTGAATAGATATATTAAACAAACAATAAAAATTTAGTTGAAATTAATCGAAAAAGAAGAGAAAGAAAGAGAGTAAGGGGATATAGAAGAAACCTGCTGCTGCTCCTGAGTTTTCTGCGTAACTCATCTTGGGATTGTGCAAGATCTCTTTGGTGCTTCAGTTCTTCAATCTCCATTTCCATCTACAAAGAAAATACAGAAAATGTGATTATGGTTTCAGTTTCATTTGCAATATAAAATTATTCCAAATGATACCAACTTGAATAACTTATTAGTTGTTACCTGTTGTATTTTGAAGTCTTTCTCCCTAGATAGATCAGGGGTTCGAAGTTCTGCTTCTAGCCTGGCTACTTCTTTCTGCAGATGTTTGACTAGCTGTTTATCTGAAACAACCTTTCATAAAAAGAGAAAAATGAAATCTTGTCAATTCACTTCAACGGACATGCATTTGGAAATCCATGTCAATCTCATTAAGCACAAAGAAAAAACGAGTACCATATTGACTTGCTCATTATTTGTCACTTCCTTTGCCCTGGTTGCAAAGAAGAGAGTATTACGAGATTGTTCAAAATGACTTTGTCCTGGACTCAAAGTGCAAATGATGGCAGTACGTGCATTTCCACCAAGTGAATGCTTCAAAATACGAGTAAACTTCGAGTCTCTATATGGTATATGACCACTTCTTTTTCCAACACTGAAAAGAGAAAATTTTCTTTAATACAAAAGACAAATCGATCATGAATGTAAAATGAAAAATATAAATTAAAATGTTCAATCTAGAGAAGAGTTAAGAGTATATGTAAGAAGTTGTAGATCTGCCTGAATTTCGACAATTAGAATAGCTTAAGAAGATGAGAATTTGCATTTAACTTTATTGAAGTACTGATTGTACAGCCAAGTATAGAACAGGCGACATTTAGAGAAGTTAAAGTAGTTTTGTTAGATTTTCGTCAAAAAAAAAAAGTTCCTTTTGGTGCAAGATAGGTCGAAGGGATGTTGTAATGGACAATAAATTATTACAATATGCATTTTCTTTTTCTTCATTTCGTTATTCTTCTTGCATTCATCACAAGAAGATACCATTCGAGAGTACAAAGTTTTTGAACAGATGAAGGGGGCAAAAGCCAAGAAATATGATGATAGATTAACAGAAGTACCTGAGCTTTCTGATTACAGTTGTCAAATTCATCAAACTAAGGTTAATATGACAGCCTTCTCTCAGCCTTGCACCATCAGCTTGTGTTTGAGAAGCTCTTTCACTTCAAGCTAGATCCACAAAGTTCTGCAAGTCTTAATCCGAACAGTTTGTCATCAGGAACAAGAATTTATACATCCTCTTAGGGTATACTTGGATAAGATGGGAGTGGTCAAGTGAAACCCTAACCTTAACTTCTATCTAATAACTACCGAAACAAGTGTGGTTCTAAGCTAAAATTTCTCATTTTACTGGAGAAGGGATAAAATCGTTCTTACCAGGTTGCAACAAATGATCTCACACAATCAGTATTTTCACGCAGAGTACTTTGAATTGTCTGCATCATTATCCAAACAAATTTATGAGTTAGCTTCCTTAGGGCATTGCGTATATTAAAGGAAACCGACAGAAATCATCATTATTACCAGCCTTATTATTTGGTGTGACCTCGAGCTAGTATCATTTAAGGCCGTTTCACCAACTTGCCGTCTGCAAAATGCCGGTAAAATGATTAGCTCCACATTTAGAGAAGGATAGAAAAAAGTTCACTTTCTCAAAGCAACAACTTCTTTAGTTACCTTCACAAATGCTAATTAGATGTCTTAGATGGTGATCGTTACTAACTGTTTCTTCCACCAACATCTCAACCACAGTACCCTTCTGCAGGCACAGATTATAACTTAAAGTTCTAGTTAAGGAAAGAAAGAGGACGCTAACAAAAGAGAGGCCATTACCTCCGGATCATCAGGAAGCTTGAGATTGCGGCCATATTCTGAATTTAGCAGGTCCCTAACATTCTTATTATAAATTTCTAATCCTGAAATTTTAATAGTAAAATCTCTCTCTGGTGTCTGCAAAAATTCCAAGTAAACAATAAATTGATTACGAAAAATCACAGCCATTTCAATGCAATGTTTTATGTTAAAGCAACAAACTACTCATATAAATGCAAAGCAAGTTGAAGATGTCAAGAACAATTAGTTCAATCAAGGGAAGGTCAGTCTCACATTCATAATATGATGGTATATGTCATTTACAGCCTTCTCACTTATTCGTCTCATCGTGTATGTCTTCCCACTGCTGGTTTGACCGTATTTATAGTAGCTGCACCAGAAATTACATAAATGAAGTGTTCAATAAAGGGAAACAAAAGACTAATGGACAGGCTTCCCAAATAAAATCGATATAACAGAAAACACAACTTAGTACCATTTATGCCTCCCAAGCAGACAAGGCAACATTCTTCACTCCTTCATGCACAGTTTCATTTAAGCATGAAGGTCCAAAAACTTTATCTGAGTAAACGAAATACAATAACCTCAAACATAAAGTTACCACGAAGCATCGACCAACTAAATAACAAGCTGGTAGTTAAGTTACCGAATGTGAAAGATGGGAGCTGAGCTGTGCGTTCTTGAGAAGGATGCTTAGAAACAATGGTGTATTCATCTACACAATCCATGCTACTTGATCTTTGGCCAGTTGTTCCCTTTTACTTAATGGCCTCAACCTTACAGTAACTAAAATCTTCTCTTCCTTTGATTTCGTGCCTCCCGGGGTTACTGGTGCCCTGTCTATCTTCCTGGCTGGGGTTCCTGGAGTTCTAACTGTCATCTTTTTTCCCCCTTTTCTTAATTCCTTGTGTGTTTGAAAATTAGAAAGACCGAAGAAAATGCAGTCAGAACCCTCTCACCTCCCGGGCCGAAGGAAA